GGAAGGACGGAAGGACGGAAGGACGGAAGGACGGAAGGAAGGAAGGAAGGAAGGAAGGAAGGAAGGAAGGAAGGAAGGAAGGAAGGAAGGAGGGAAGGAAGGAAGGAAGGAAGGAAGGAAGAGAGCGAGAGTAGCTGTGTTTCGGGGGGCGGGTAACATGTGGGACCCGTGCTTGCATGATTTACTTGAGTGGTGGTGTTGTTTCCCTGCGTTTTCTTACTCTCCTGGTCGGGGCCGTACGCCTATACGTCCTTTGTTTGCGTTCAGTCCACTCCAAAATGGGGTGTGCGCGTGCGCAGGGGGGGAATCCCTCCCTCAGGCCCGCAGAAACAAAAAAACGATGGGGTTGGGCACTGCCCACTCCTCAAACCCCGAGCAAAGCAAAGCACAACGATCATCGGGCCGGCGGAGAAGCACAAGCGGACGCCCTCAGGGCACGAGAGAGAGAGTCAGAGAGAGCCGTTTTCGGAAATGACCGACACCGAACCCAGCAACACCTGGGCAAAAGCTGAGTGCGAGCCTCGATAACCAGCAATGACGGGGACGACTACGCGTAGTAGCGCGCCAGCGCAGGCGAAGGGGAGCCGCATCCCCAACCCCAAACGCCTTGCAAACAAGCAAGCAAGCAAGCAAACAACAGAGACAGAGACAGAGACAGAGAGACACTCGTGCGAAGTGTCACAGCCCCTTCACAAAGCCTGACAAAGCCTCGTCTTACAGAGCGGGGGCCATAGAGGCCAGGGCCGGTGGATGAAGACAGAGACCGTTTCAGGTTGCATCCCGCTGGCATGCAAATCCCGAAATAGAGGGATTCTGGTGGCCTTGTAGCTTGACTCGCTCCCTATGTCTTGCGAAGAATACAGTGAGGAATGGCACCATTCGCCAGTCCCAATTTCTTCATGATAGGCTCGGGCACGACTTCGTACAGTTGATAACGTGCTGTGTTTGTCTTCGGGGCGTTTGGCCGTTTCTGAGGCATCCGCATTCTTGTCATCAACAGTCAGTAGGAAGGCAAGTGCCTGCAATCCGAAGGGTTGATTTGGATTGCGAGAGGTTATCAGTGCATCTCAGGGAGCAGCGGCTTCCAGAAGCTGTTGTTGAGGGAGCATGCTTCGACTGCAGGTTTGCTGGCGGCCATGGTCCAAGTGCACTTCGGCTATGGGTACATGCAGCGGATATACTGGACACAGCGGAGGCGATACGTTCTGAAGATGGAGAGAACGGAGGACTTTGTAGCAGGGCCGCCACACTCCAATCCATCCTCATGTTTCCAGATTTTCTCTGCATCAGCATGCAGGATGCCAATGGTGTCGTCGTGGCTGGACTGCAAAGTCGGTGATTGGTTCTGAATGCATTCGGAAACAGCACCATGTGTCAAAGATAGGGAGCAGGCATGTCGTCGCTGGTGACAAGCATCTCGTATTTCTGCTGACTGGTCTGCCAGACAGTCACGGTGAACTGCGATGCCGGCGTCACAAGAAAATTCCAGCTGACCGATGAGGCTGCCTCCAAGTTATAAGTGACGTGTAGTGCCCTTCGCCCTCGCCAACAATTCAAAGGACTGCTCTTGGCAAAACAACTCCGTCTGTATTGTCGGTCTGTGCCAGGCCCCGGCTGACGCAAAACCTTCTTTGAAGGCTTCTTGGATCTCCACTGCCACTGTGAACGTAGTACTCGGCTGTGACCATGGCATGTAGGCAGTGGCTGCGCTAAGGAGATCATAGAGAAGGGCGGCACCTTCATGTTCATAGACAGGAAGGCAGGCGAAATCCAGGATCCAGAGGCTGGGGCACGCTGCTCCCTGACAGAGTGACGTATTGAGGGTCATGGTCTGCAGAAATTACTGTCGACACTTGCTCATTCCTACGATTGGGTACGGCGGTGCACGAACGAGATGGATAACGAACACACATACTCAAGTGAAGAATTTGCCTGAAGATGCTGGACACACTCCTCCAGTCTGACCGCGGAATTCGAAACGAAGAGGCAGCTTGGCTTTCCTTAGAGTGTGCAGCTTGAAAAGTCGCCTGGCGTGGCCGCACGGGATGCTCTGGAGGTGACAGCAGAGCCTGCCCAGGCCTTAAAATTTGAGTTGTCTCTGCTGTCTCTTGGCCTTCTGGCGATTTACGCAGAACTTGCCGTCGACATTGTGCAGGTATGCTACGTCTCGGAATGCTAGCCATGCTTTGGTGTGGCTGCGCTGAGGTGATGGAGGAGACGAAGGAACAGTCGCTCCAGACGGGGCCTCGACTGGCTTCGAGAGTGGCTTAGATGCTTTCCTTACCGAATCTTAACGAACAAGCTCAAGCGAAACGATGTGTATTGATGCCGCGAGAGGTATTTCGTGCTTTCTGCCTGCAGGTTCGCAGATGCACACACAAGCAGTGTCAGACACTGCAACGAAAACGCGCAAGAACAAGCTTGAGGTAAACCGCAGACAATAAGGCACCTAGCAGACTGGGCAGACCGACCGGAACGAGTGATAGTGCCTCTTGCTGCCAGACTACCCGGCCAAACTGACCGCACGGATGACGCATCCGAGGTTCAATGCAAATAGGTATCCAGAGATGGGTAGATGGCAGTTGCCGGTTGACATAGCCAGCACCTTCCTGCGCAATGGTTTCACATGATGTTCAACGTTTTTGCAGGATCGTCCAGAAGTTCAAGGACTTAAATCGAGAGCAAGCTGGCTGCAGTAATGATGAAGAGAGGAACAGATGTCTGGAAGTAGTGCAGCACATCAGTAAATTGTACGTGTCCACCCGGACCGTCGACTTGGGTCTTGCTATTCCACTATTCCACCAGGCACCTTGACAAGATCCCGGAGCAGGACTCACGCCGGTAGACAAGAATGTGACAGGGCTGCTTGTGCGAGCACTGCTTCTGATCTCTCTATCTCTCGACTCTAGCTCTCTCTCTCTGTCTTTCTACCTATCTATCTATCTAGCTAGCTCGCTAGCTAGCTACCTACCAACCTACCTACCTATCTATCTCTATCTATCTCTATCTATCTCTAGATATAGAGAGAGGGAGAGGGAGAACGGTATACATGATATGATACATATATACATATATACATATATATATATATATGTATGTGTGTATGTGTGTATGCATTTATGTATGTATGTATGTATGTATGTATGTATGTATGTATGTATGTATGTATGTATATTTATATATATATATATAACTACATATCTATATCTATATATACATATATATATATATATATGCACACATGCACACACACACACACACACACGCTGGTTTGGATATGGGCTGACCTAATCGTCCGCATACACAGGACAACAAGACTTCACCACAGGAGGCCTGCCGGCCTTGACTGCTTTTGATGTCCCAAATTGCAAACTTTGTCAGGGCCTGCGCCAGCTGGAGAGGACGGCACAAATGGTCGGTTCTGGCTGCATGGTCGGTGGAATCCTGATCTGGGCTGAGCCCTCAGTTCCAAATCGATGTCTGTACAAAGCATCTCATGTGTCTTTCTCCAACACGAGGGCAGCACATGCTACTGAGAAGGCCTGCCATTGTCCGCAGGAATGTTTGCAGTTCACGTTCAGACCGCTCTTGGATTTCAGTGTTTGAAAAGGTAAATGCAACCAGGTTCCTCCATGTCAAGACAATTCTCCCTCTTCATTCGTGGCTTTCGGGTTGTGGTGACTCTTTTTTCATATCTGCTTTTGTCCTCTTCTGTCACATTGCTATGTTTCGTACGGCATCAGAGAGAACTCTTTGTTGTGGGCTTGTGCGCCTGAGTTCGAGGTGCTGGGCGATTGGAGTGCACAAGCTGCCATCCGAGCTGCTTCAGAAAACTACAAACCTCAAGCAACATTGTCACCGGAGGGGTCGGATCCTCCGCAGACGCGCGGCACCTATTCCCGGGCAGTGCAATGAGACTGCAACTAATTCTTCGGGCTCTGGCAAAGTTCGCAGATTGCCTTGCGACCCAGGTCCTGTAAGAATGCGTGCTGTTTAGAGCCCAGGCATCGCAAGCTTACAGAGGAGAGCGCCATTTGTCACCGTACCGTTTCTCTTCAAACCCAATGCCTAGGCCAAAACAACACTCGCGTGTACAAACGCCTCTGTTGGAGTCGCAGCTTCATAGTCCCATTGTTGGAATTCATGCTCTTTGACAGCGTTATGAAGACGTGGCTCCGGAGAGAGATAGAGCGAGAGTGGGAGCAGCCATTGGATTGGCACGTCAGTGAGAAAAGGCACAATTGAAAGGCACAGCTCGGCTCGGTTCAAGGCTCATTGCCGCCCCCACGCAGGCGCGGCTTCCAATTCCGCGAACTGGGCTCCGGCCTTGGGTGTTGCGGCTGCTGCGACGGCGGTGGCCGCCAACCGGCGCCAAAGCCGGCCCCGTCCCCGGCGGCGGAAGCGCCAGTTCGTGGCTAGCAATCCTGCTAGCCTTGTGCACTCGCGCTGTGGCCAGTGCATGTTGCGGAGGCTTGGCCGCCGAGCAGTTGGTGAGCGAAGTGAGGCTGCCCGCCAGCCGAAGACTAGCAGGCAGCTTCAGCGGGCGGTTCGTTGGAAGCAGTCCTTCGTGTCAAATATGTCGGTCAGGTCCGCAGTCACTGAGAAGCTGGTGCCGGGCTTGGGTTGCTTTGGGCCGGTTCGGCCGGGACGCCCGTGGTCACCGCATGTCACCGCTCAGGTGACAAGTATCGATCCTTCCGCAGGCCCACAGGGCACGTGCCCTGGCTGAATTATTGGAAGAGTTGAGAAGTCCCTGGAAGTGAAGGCTCTGGCTCCGTTGTGCCTCCGGGGTGGGACAAAGCACAGGCAAGTAGAGCGTGCGCAGGTATCAGGTGGGCATCGACTTCAAGAACTGGCTGCAGTCTGCTGAGGAGGAGCTGGAGGTGGGGAGATTCCCTGCATGCAGAAGACTAGACGGAGATCGTTACAGCCCATCCAGGCTGAAAATACATACGAAAGGAAAGAGATCCATAACATGTTTGCAACGTCGTGCCAGGTGGATGGTCTGCGTGTCGAGGGCCATATCCCCGCGTGGCTCCGCGGTCACTTGGCCACGGCCCTTGTGGTACACGTGACGGGTTGAGGTCGCTTGTTGGAAGTTAGCAAAGGTTAGCTGGTTGATCCTGGGAAAGATGCCGCAGCATTTGAGCCAAGCCTGTGAGTGAGCGCACAGTGCTCTAATTCATAGCCTACAGAGTTACGAGAGAGTTGCAAAGACTTGCTGGGGATGGTACATGCCTAGCCGACCAGCGAATCTACAGCAACCCTTACGTCTTCCAGCCTCACACTCCGGCGTCAATATGCTGAGCGAAACGACAGATGATGAGGAGCGCACTCGGCTATGTGTGCCCACGGAAGATTGCAACTTCCTGGAGCCAATTCCCTCCGGAGGACCTGGAAGATTCTTCACCAGGGATCCAGGGCCGTTGCCTGGAAGAGACGGATGTTCTGGAACAGGAGGAGGCTGGTGCATGTCTGGGAGTGATGAACCGAAACATCTCGAAGCCGCACCCGGCAGGAAGTGCTACGACCACGACGAGAGCGCGGAGTTCCAGGTAATTGACAGACTTTCTGTGACTTGTTCGGCTTCCAAGAGCCCATGCAGGTGCTGGGCAGATTCTTTCTTCGGAGAGGGAACGTGGCCTTGAGGAGAACTGGCGAGATACTGGTACCGGCCATGTGCATCTCTCGCTTCCTCTCGACTCGCAGTGCCAGGACTTTGCCGTGGCCTTCGGCGGTGGTGGCGTGCGCTCAGGTCGGATATGGGTCTGTAGCTCTCTCCACACGTATGTCCAGAAATCGGCGAAGTCTCCTTCGTCAGGGGCCTTCTGCACCGGGGCGCTGTGGGCGCTCGCCGAGGCCTTTCGCAACGCAGTAGGTTCAGATTGTGTTGCTCTGATTCTGACTGTTCTGTGCGTGATGTATCTTGCCACTTGGGTTGTATATGTAGGCAAGTTCGAGAAGCGATCCCCCTTTCAGGTAGGCCGTCTACGGCACGTCACGCACCTGTCCTCTGTGTCAGGAGGCAGGAGACGTGTCTTGTGATCATCCAACTGGCAACTGGGAAGTGCATGTCCAAGATGCTGCAGTCGGTCATCATGCAGCCATGCAGCCCCATAGTGGTAGAAGACGTGGAGTGTGTGAGCGGCAGAAACCGACCATAGCCCGCCCGTCTGCTAACTGGAGGCTCCATCGCGGCTTCCGGCTTCGCCTCTTTCCTGGTGGGCCGGCAGCCGACCGAGGATGGCAAGCCAGATGCCGCCGCAACTGATAGCTGGTACAGAGCAACTCGGCCGAAGGTCAAAGACTAAGACATGATGAGCAAGTCTCCATTCTCCTTCATACCTCGCAAGACGCAAAAACATGCATTGCTCAAGCGCTGCAGGAGGTTGTCGCGGAATTCATCGAGCGCAGCCAGCGAAATGCAGGCTACCTGGTGTCTTTCAACAATCTTTGGAAGGTGCGCGCCCAAGCTGGTGCAATAAAACTGGCTCGGGCAGTGAAGGCTGTCTCCTGTCTCCTGCAGGCACCCGAAGATGACTCGTCTTCAGTTCCCAGAATCCTGGACCTACCGCTCATGGCCCTGGTCGTGCTGGGAGTTCTCGTCGCTGCTCCAGTGATCTTTTGTGTTCCTCCGGCCGCAGACAGACTGCTTTGATTATGCTCTCGAACAACCCTTCGTTCTGATGTCCCTGCGCCCCGCACGTGCAGGTGGCAGGGGGCGCAGAAGAGGGGGGGGCGGACAGTCAAAACGTGCATACGGCGTGGCATTTCAAGAAGTGAGTCGCAACAAGCACGATGCCGACGGGCGACCAGCTCGAGTTTTTCATCGAGAGAATGAAACGTAATGAAAGAATCAGTGCAGCCCCAGTCGCAGTGCTTTTAGAAGTCGTGACTGTCGTGATTGGCTCTTCCCAAGCCTCCATTTCGCTGGCGCACAGGTCTTTTATGTAGTGCCCGTCTCTTTGCTCATAGAGGCCGGGGGCCGCAACGCTTGAAAGTCCGGATAGCCCTTGGCCGTAGTTCGAGGCGTACTGGGGTGGCACGCTGCGTTGCGGGCTCAGCCCGAAAGTGCACCAGTTCCCGATGGGTGGATGTGGTTTGGGTGGCGGGCGTGACGCCGAGGACACTGCTTCTGCATCCCGCCGAGCACCAAAAGAAAGTGTTCGGTAGCGGACCTGATCCAGCTCTCCGGGTCGGACGCTGAAGCAAATTTGGCCACAGCGATTTTATTCAACCTTGAGTTTGTCACTGGAGGGCCGTGAGTGGCTATGTGATCGGCTGCTTCGTCCTGGCACTGGTCGTGCTCGCAGCTTGCTCGCGGTAAAAGCGGGAGACTGGCCTAGGAGCCTCCCTAGGCCGCCCGAGCGAGGGTTACCTGCAAAATACTAGAAGTCTGCTCTGCCTTTGGATGCGTGAGAGACCGGGTTAATTGTGTTTGCCATCATGTGTTCCTGGATTCCAGGCATTCATCTACAAGTGCACCCATTTAGAGGGGCGGCGGCCGACAAGGCAAGGGCTTTGCAAGGCCGCAAGAACAAGAACAGGTGCAGGTAGACCACATAAGATGTGATCAGACTATCGTGGCATTTGTCTTGCACTCTGCTGTAGCATTCCGAGACTTCCGAAATCAACAGGAGATACCTTTACTGGCGGTCATGCGTCAACCTCAGCAGTCGATGGCTGGTCATTGGCTCAGTTGATTGACATCTCAGGATGCTGAGCAGCTTCTAAGTTTCTATCAGGGCTACTTGACACGGTCTTGCTTATGCAAAGTTGTGGAAGCCCACATGATGATGAGGGTCAATCCGCAAGGTCATGCTGTTGCTGATTCTGGCCACAGTCTTGTTGGTCTACACAGCTGACACTTGGCCGCCACAAGAAGACTTTTTCTACAGCTTTTGGCGGTCGGCCAGTCACGTGTAGTGATGCTGCAGATTCTTCGAGGAATGGTGGGATTATGGCGAGCCCCTCGCCATGCCAGCATAGGTGATGGGAGTCGCATGCGAGTTAATGAGTGTGAAAGGTTCCTACACTGTTCGTTCTGTCTTTGGCAGAGCCGCGCAGTTGCCGTCTGACACTTCGTAAGGCTACGGGCATCGGACGGCGCAAATGTTTGCCTGGATTACTGGAGGCAAGTCAACAGGACACAAGGAGGCCATGGGCACCGGCGTTCTACAGCCTTTGCAAATCCGTCTTGTTGAGAGAGAAAGCTGTTTGAGGGAACTCCGAGAGAGAAACTGATGGAGGACGTGACTTACGACAGAAGCTTGTCAAACGTGTGCTGCTTATCGGTAGAATTTGCTTCAGCTGACGGGCTTGCCAACATCGTTTGCAAGACCCTGGCATCCTTTAAGCTCTGCGCCAAGCGATCCACTTGCACCAGATGTTCGTCTAAAAGCACAGTGAATGATTTCAGTCGGCGTTACTGCAGTAACTCCAGCACTGCCAGCACCATTCTTGAACTCAAGCGCATGCTTTTTTGGACCGTTGCCATCCGTCTCGTGATCGGGACCACTTCCATGTCTGTTTTCCTGTGCAGATGGCCTGTGTTCTGGCGTGTGGCCGAAAGCTCCGCACTGGCCAGGACAGCAGCGCCTCTCGTCAGACTTCGGCTTGTTGCTACTCGTTACTAGTTAATTACTAGTAAGTTACTAGTTGAGACTGTAGTGAAGGCGACCCCCTCCAGACGGCTCTGCGCAGCTGAGATCTCCACGATTTCAGACTCGACACGATAGAGCGCATCGAGGAGTTTTAGGGTGCTGGTAGCATCTTTCCGCCGCTCTGGGCAGCCGTAGGCCTTAAGCTGCGTCGTTAATCAGCAGTCAGTGGGGAGTGAAGACGCTTCGAAGGAAACTGATTGCATTCACGTACACTGCAGTTGCAGGAAGTGTTACCTTTCTATTTCAACTCCAGCAAAGTTGAAGGCGCTGTCGATTCCATTGCGTCTAGCCATGTGTAGCCAGGCCGAGCCTCTTGATGCAGCTTGCAATTCTCCATGATGGGACAGGTGATCCAAGTTTCGGTGAGGCCCCGGTCGCACACGAGCCATGTGTGCACAGACTGCCATCCCTGAACTGGCAGCAAGATGAGTCCTCCGCTTCTTCTTGCTAAAGCCTTGTGAACAGTCGTCAAAAGCAAAGCAGGTGCAATCCAAATTCTTTGAAGGGATGTTTGCAGCTCGCAGGAAAGGCGTGTGCCTTTTATCTTACTGTTCTTCCTCATTACGGTGCTCTTCGGCCTGGTGGCCTTGAGCTTCAAAGCACTGGGTTGGGGCGGTGTCCTGCGTGCCGCTTGGATCGAAAGCTCCGAGGATCCCTTCTTTTTGTACCTTGGAGATCCTTAGAGTATCTTAGAGTGTAGAGTATCTTAGAGTGACTTTCTCAGGTCTTAGAGTGTAGAGTATCTTAGAGTGACTTTCTCAGGTCTTCCTGGTTGTGCTGCTGCCTCTCTGGTTTATCTGGCCAACAACATTTCTGCTCCAGTGGCGTATCTTCGGCCCTGTAACGCACCAGGCGGTCAGCTTTGAGTTGGGTAGACCTTCATGTGCTGAGTGTCTTGTACAATTCCGCCTGCTTGCAGCCGCTGTTCACGCCGCTCTTCGGGACGCAAATCTTTGGCCAATATTCTGACAAAGCCTGGAATTACTTCACGGGCATTTTCCTGACTTTGGCGATTGTGTCTTGTCTTTCTCCCTTTACCGGTCGTGGCACAGAAGACTACAGATTCGGCTTGTATGGGGGACGAATGATTCCCATGAGGTAGCCTTGCCCGGCTTCAACTTCTTCCACCGCTTCGTCCACATCTATTTTCGTGTGTTCTGGGCTGAGTCCGGCACGGTGAGACCATCGCACCTGATCGCGGGACATGGCGATTTCTCAGCCGCTACAGTAAAGAGGCAAATCTTTTGCAGAGGTCTCTGCAGCGTGCCTTCTATTGCGGTGGCAAAGATGTTCCCACCCAGGAGGCCGCCTAGTCTGTCTCTGTCTGTCAGTCTGTGTGTGTCTGTGTGTTCGAGGGAAAGGGTGTGATGAGTGCGACGGCATCACTTGTCGTTGAGTCAATGCCACTCACTAGTCACTAGTCACTAGCCCAACCGCTCTCATGTCCTTTGCAGGTGGCCAAATGCCCATGGTCTCCTATACTGTTGTTTGGCGCCTTGGAGGACAAGTGCAATAAAATTTGTGGAACACTTGCCTGCCACCCCGATGGCAGGCCATAACAGGCCATGCCTTTTATTGCGTATTGCTAAATGATTGTCTTGGGCTGTCATCGAGGTGCGACACTCAATGAATACCAACGACCTCAAGATGAAGAGCCTCATTGCCTTTTTGCCATTCACTTGCAGAGTATGTTCTTCTGGAGCAATTCGAAGCATCACTCAGCCACACTCTAGTGGCATGACCTTGTGTTCTGCCTTCGTAGTACATGTCATCCGAGTCGTTATCGCAGCATGCGATGGGATGCGAAAGGAGCTCTGGGCTCTTCGGGTGTTTTGTTAGATCTTTGCAGCTTTGATGCGTTGCGCATCCAAGACCGACCAGGACAAAGTACCTTCGAAGCCCGCAATGGATGACTCTGTCGAAGTGCATGACCTTGAGCTGCGCGGCCATTGAGACTCGTCTGTTTGATTGTCCGCGTTGCTGCACGACGACAAGCCAAGCCTGCGCAAGGGTGATAGTGTGAGTCTCGTCATTCTACTGGTACTGGTAGCAGCTGAGATCAGCTGAGGATGGATTCGTGCCGGTGGCTCAGAAAGAGATCAAGATGCGCGCTGCTCCCGATTTAGACTTCGAGGTTGACACAAATAAACAAGTGGCACACGCGAATCCTGCTGCTCGTCCGCAGCTTTTCCATGGCACCCCGAAGCGATTCTCGGCGAGTGCAACTTCCGGCTCAGGATGGCGATGCTCAACCTCACCCAAGGTGACTGGCTCCGGTTTGACATGGGCCAGAACTGGCACAGTTTATCAAAGCGCCGCCCGGCAACAGTTGTCGGATTAGCCTCGATGGGGCACCCTGGTCCTTAACGCTGAACGAGCTGGGATTAGTTTGGGAAGTTGTTCGTCGCCACGAAATGGGTGGTGGACTAGAGGAGGCAACTCCGACTCCTGCCAAGGATACCCATCGCTCTTAGAGCAGCCGCACTTGGCCAGCCTGATCGACAGGCGGGCTTCACAGCTAGGACCCTGACGCCAGCTTCGTATCCCTTGGCCAGGCTTCCGGAGATCTTGACGCTGTCGTGTATCTACTTGTTCTGCTTGATCTTCAACCAGAATTCATCCTACAGTGCTGGCCAGAACGAGGTCGTTGCTTGGCTGGCAGGTTTATCCAGATTGATTTTGAGGCAAGACATGGCAAGACAACTATTGGGGCATTCCTGCCAAGGAAGCATGCACACCTTTCTGGATCTTCAGATTCCTCGCATCCGCCTTCATCGGCGTTTTCATAGGTTGGTGTTGGGAAAGGTTTTGTTGCAGGCTGACAGGACTTTCAAGCCGGAGACAGCAAGGGCTTTTCTATGCCACCAGATGCTTCTGCCACTGTTTATAACCTCGCACAGCAGCAGTCCATCTTGGGATAGCAGTGTGGACCGGGGCACGCGGCCCTTTGAGCACGGAAGAACTTCGCCGCTTGCTGCTAGGCGGCCTCAGCTTCTTCGGCCACGTGCGATGCTTCGCGTGGCTCCTTGCATCTCCGGTAATCCGTCAAATCCACATGCCAGGACCTCAATATCCTCAATCTACTCAGCAGTGTGAAAGCGCAGCTTTGGTGTGGTCCTCACGGCACCGAGGTTCCTCATGCATCACGAGTGCATGGAGAATCCGCCCATGTACCTCTATCTCACGGTGCCTCGGCTAAGAGGCAACGACTTGTCCATATCCAAGTGAAGGTCCGGGCTTCCGCAATCTCTACAAGGAAGCTCGTGTGTTGCGTTGTGTCACGTTGCAACACTTCGGCCAACATCCTCGCCAAGGATGGCGGCCCAGTCGAGGATCTAGGACGGGCGGGCTTGGGCTGCGACCGTCACGGATTCAAGCATTTTGAAGTTTTCGCTTTGGGAGGACTCGTTCAACTCCTGAGGCGCCGGCGCCGCTGGATCTTGTCGTTTGACGTGGGCGACGACCCGGCTTGCGAGCCTTACTCGCACGCAGCGATAGGCGGTTCGCTTTCCTGGGGCGTGCCATGACCGTCAGGAGCTGATCGATCTTCGCGCAGCGATAGCTCTGGCACGAAAGGCTGCTTGTCTGCGTGGATGCGAGCCTGTCCCACATCGTGGACTCCGCCGTAGCCACATTGCTTCGGCTGTTCGCTTCAGCCCATCGGCTGGGTCTTCGGAGGGGTGCTTTGGGTGCGAGAGGGAAAAGAGGCAGAGCACGTTGCAGCAGTTCAACTGAGGAGCGAATCTGCAGCTTTTACCTGGCTGAGGAGACCGATCGGTGAGTCATGCCTGCAGGGGAGCGGCGGAGCTTCGGCCAAGTTTTTATAGGTCGATCTCGAAGCGTTGCAGGATCCAAGGAGGGACTTAGAAGAGGTGATCGACGAGTTTGCCAAAGGCCGCGAACGGTTCCTTCATCTCGGCCAGTTGGCTGAAACTTCGTTTGCGCTGAGTCAGCCGTCGCCCGGCCTGCGCTCGTCACAATACCACTTGGAGTGAGGTGTCCTTTACAAGGGTGCGACGGGCGAGAAACGCGAATCTCTGACTGCAGTGGGACTTTGGTAGCTTCAGAAGGCATTTGAGACTTGAAGGATGCTATAACTTGTAGGGGAGGTTGTTACAGCTCGGTGAAGTCACCTCTCTGAGCCTGGGCGAAGTTCCAGGAGATCGGCGAGATCTTCCACGTCCGAATGCGCCTTCTGGACCCCCCAACCGGGGTCGCAGTCCAGCCCCTCGTGCAGGCTGAGGAGACGGGATTGTTGCTGACCTCTGCAAGTTGGAGATCAAATTGGGATGTCTTGTTCAATCTCCAAATGCACGTGGTTCTCCGTCCATTTTGTCGGTGTATTCGCGACATTCTGCTAACACCTGCAGGAGGTGACCTCGCAGAGGACGGTGCTTTCTGCAGCACGCCAGATGGCCATCTGGCAGAAACGTCTTGTCAAACGGCTTTTGATCGATTCTCGTGGAGAATCATCTTGACTTATCGTACTGGATGCGCTGGTTTGCGCCGGCTCCAAAGTCTCCAAGAGAACTCGCAGGCATCGCATCTTCTCAGTTTATGCTTTGGCTCGGTGTGACTATGGATTGGTGCAACGCAAGAGTTTTGCAGAGGTGCTTGGTACTGGTTCACGCAACTGTAACTACGCACGGTTTTTGCCCGTGGCACATCGCGGCACCAAGGTCCATCTTTGTCCACCCCAATCAGATCTGGAGCTCTCTGCGCCTATGAATGTTGGGCAGGAGTTGCAGGGAAAATAATTCGCCACCTTCAAATGACTAGACAGTTGTGGCCTGCCACAGTCCCACAAGTCCTGCGTAAATGCTGCTACGAATCCTGCAGTCCCTCACGCCTTTCCGGTGCGGGGTCGCGGTGGCAAAGCAGAATCTTGCTGAAGATTCGAGGTCAGCTACTCTCAAATTCTCAAACATTTCTGAGAGGACTACACTTCGTCGCAGACGTCCGGCAGCTCAGATAGCACGCCCACCCAGAAGAGGGCGGAACTCGGAGGCAGGAGCAATAAGGCACGAGTTTTTGCGCTCATGTCACAGATTCTCCTGCAGGCATTTGCTGCGAATGCTGTCATGACTGGGCACACGGTGGCGCATGCGGGGCCTTCCCGAACACGCACACTGTCAACCAGTTCTTCACGCCGAAGGCACGTAGCGACGTAGCTCGTGCCAGGACAGCAGTCTAGCCTTGTGGGTGCCTGCAGTTCCTGCGTGCCACTCCTTCAAGCTACTCTTGCATAGGTTTGGGCCAACTTCTGCCGGCTTGGTCGGGAGACTTATCTCAACTAGACTGGACCATGGGACTCAGAGGTGCCATGACGTGCCTCTGTGATCAGAACATGTCATGTGGAGGGAGTGGATCTGTGTGAGGGAGCTGGTTTTGCTCTTGCATGCTTGTGGTAGCCCGCTCCACTCAAGTTATCACTTAGGAGATGGCGGCCCCGGCCATCGAAGCGCTGACGAACGCGCAGGCCACCCTGTCCATGGCATTCCCTGAAGCTGTCAAGGTACCCACCCTCGCGACTCCGTGCCCAGGTTCGCGAAGCCAACGCACGCAGGAACGCTTCCAGAGTTTCCTCCTGGTAGCCAGAAGCTTTGAAGCTATGTCCGCCAAGTCTCGATGCAAAAAGCAGACCATGGTGCATGCTGCTGGCTTAGGTCCTTGTGTCGTTGCCTTTCGGGCGCCCCAGTGAGTGGTCGCTCTGCACGTTGGCGGGCCAAAGTGCCTGTCAGGAACCACCGTGACGCGAGCTGCGCAAGGGCCGCTTTAAGCGCCGCAAAGACTCAAGCTTGCACGATTGCACCCTCGCCACTTCCGTGTCCCAGCGTCCCAGGTGCACGCAGGGCCAGCGAAATTCGAGTTCGGAGACGACGAGTTCGTGGACTGGGTTGATGGGCAGGCCGCATGAAGCTGAGGCATTTAGCTACGATTCTCTGAGGTGACACAGCTGGGCATAAGTGACCCGTTGCGGACCACTTGTGAACGGTTGGAACAGTTGCAGCTGGCAGGTTGCATCGCGTGCTCTCTGAAATGCTCTCATGGGCTTCATGGTGATTTTGAGTCCGACCCTCCCAGCTCATCGTAGGCCATGCTGTACCGCCTGAAGATTGGCGGCGATGGCGAATGCCAGTACAAAAACCGGCTGCATGCTTTGGATCCATACCCTTCAACAGCGGATGAGCCCCATGAAACGTTTTCTGGCTGTGAGGTGGTTGGACACCTGGAACCATCGCATGCATCGCGAGGCCATGGGGCGCTGAGTAGCGTGGCAAAGACCTAGATACCTTTGCCCTGGGCCCTGTTGCACAGGCCGGCCGCATTGCCGTCCGGGAGACCTGCTCCAGGTCGCCCGACATTCTGCAAGGAGGGATTTGTCTGACTGCTGGGTCTGCAGGCCATCTCTCAAGAACTTCTGGGAGCGCTTCATGTACCTCTTCAGCCCTCCCAACAACGAGAACGGCAACCTCCACATCTCCCAGGCTCCTGGACGCCTGCTTTCCTGCTGTCATCGAAGTTCCGTAGCCCTGGCCTGTGCTCTGAGATCGCCGGCTCGCGGTGTGTTTCCATGTCCGTTGGATCGCTGGAGCCTTAATACGCGGACCTCATACCTACTACACACTTTGATAATGTTAGCTCGAGTGCAAAGGCTTATTGCGCTTGCTCTTTGCTCCTGTCAAAGGGCCTGCCTGGAATTCGAGTTGGACAATATGAACACGCTGGGCAAGGCTGGGCACTACGGCTGCTCGTATGGAGAAGAATGCGTGCAGCTTTGAGCACACCGGACTTTATTTACCCTAGTACGGGTCACAATGCTCTGTCGGTCGATGTCGTTTCGTGCACGCATAAAGTATGTATAAGTCTAAGTGTTTGCATATGTCTATCGCTGCCTCTCACCTGGTCTGTGTCAGGACGGTCATGTTTGCATGCGGCCGTCGGTGTGGGTTACGAGCGATTCAGAACCCCAAGTTGCATCATGCATGCTGAAAGGTGCCCTTTGACGATGAGTTGGTGGAGGGAGGCCCTCTGATCTTCCATGCAGAGTTGCGAGCTCAGACAGAGTGCCAGCTGTGATTCATTCCGCATGCTGTGAGATTCAAGCCAAGTCTTCAAGGCCTCATGTCGACAAGGACACAGGCACCTTCCGTCGTTTGTGCTGTTCGTGCACAACGAGCCTTCAAGCACTGCACGTGTGTTCTCCTGTGCAAGGTGAGTGGGTGACATGCGCGATCCAGCTCCGCATCAGCCCTGAGGACCTGAGCGGGGGATTGCTTGGGGGCCTGGATAAAACACTGTCGGAAGAGGTTCTGAAGCATCAGCGCTATTCGTCGTACCGTCAGACAGTGCCGCGGTAGTTTCCAGGACATGGGCCTCAAGCCGGAGTGCTCTTCCAAGCAAAGCACGTGTGTGACACAATGAAGTCCTGGTTGATCTCGGAAATGCAGTTGAAGTTGCATTCCGCCAGACCGAGTTCTTGTCGATGTGATCGTGGCTGCAGGTATGTCGTCTTCTCCGTGATGCCGGATACGTCGTCAGTCCCCCGGTGAATGCGTCGTTCAAACTCTTCCGGCCTCAGCAAAATGGAAGAGCTAGCTCCACAACGACACACATCAGAGTACAGCTAAGAGTCCCCACGGCCCGTGGAAGCTTGAGGAAGACTCCTGGGGCACCGGTTCAGCGCCGCCTGATTCGTCGAATCTCCACGGAGCCGACAGCTCAGCGGATCGGTTCGTTGCCCGCAGTCGTCGCCGAGCAGTCAGAGATTGTCTCACCCAAGGGGTGGCACTGAGGTATCCGTCCCCTGTCCACACCATCGCCCTGACCAAGAAGTACATCGTCATGATCCAGATTCCATACCCGTTGAACTGGGCTGGAAGCTTAATTGGTAAGTGGCTGTTCTGAGATGAAGTGTAGACGTGAATGAGTAGCCACTTGGCTGTCAGCATGCTTACAGATGCCATAACGTGGGAAGCAACGGCAGAGAGCCGCCCTCACATGTCGCCAAAGGATGGCATGCTCAATGCGGAGGCGAGATGGTTGATGAATGGCCCTTTGCTCGGATGCTGCGGTAAATTGCATCTTTCGCTTCCGGGCTGAATCATCCGGAGGCCTAGAGAGCTTAGCTACGCTTAGAGAAAACAGCCCCTTTGCTTTGGCCGACCTTTGAGCCTTGCATGTCCTTAGGCGTGTACGAAGGCAATCTCAACGACTACAACACTTGGCAACCAGAGCGCCTCAAGCTTGGTGTCGTAGACCGGCTCTCTTTTCCGCTCTATGTTCATGAGATACAGGCCCGACTACTATCCGCATCATCAACCGCATCACCGGCGAAGAGACCCAGACCTTCGAGACAGATCCGTGCCCCCGGCACGTCATATTCCTTATGCGAATCTGTATGCAATTGCAAGACAGACACAGAGCATCGCAGCTGCAATACTCCGACACTGAGCGCGTGTTCTGGCAGCCTACTCGATACTCTGCCGTGACCCTCGGTCGTGGCAGGTTTTTCTTCTTCCACATCATTAACTCTTTTGAGGCAAGATGAGTCGCCACATGAGTCAGTTGACAGGCTGATAGGTCCCACTTCTCCATGTCTGTGGGGCTTCGGAGCCAGCTGGATGTCTCCAGTCATGTTTCAACACATGTTTTCAATGGCCCTTGGAGAATCCACTGCAGGAAGCCGGTGGACCGTCTGGCGAGGACACGTCTGGCACCTGCTTTCGTGCAAAGACCCAAAGACCAGATGTGGCAGTCCAAGTCGCACGAAACCGCCGACAACAGTTCATGCCGTGTCGTACGCATGTAATCGCAGAGCCAAGCTGGTGAAAGGATTCGTCTGCGGGCTCACAACAACCATTACAAATGTTCGATGAGTGTTCGACGTGAGGATGAGATTGTCAACCTCGACGTCGTCTGCTACAATGAGCCGTCGCGCTCTCAAAACAAGACCAGCTCAGCTTCACGTCTGTTTTAGCATTCTCTTAGATTTAAGCTGGCAGATCCTCAGCTGTCGGCTGAGGCCTGTTGGCTTCCCTCTGCGACAGGCCAAGGGGGAAACGATTTGCGCGTTTCACCCAGGGCTTCTTGACTTCTGTGCGGTTCGCTGCCCCTCACCGCAGGCGAGATCTGGTGATGTCGAGGATTGGCGTGGTGGTGGTGGAGAGGCCTCCGGGCGTTGGGCTGCCCCGACAGGGTCTGTAGCGTTGTTTTGCATCGTCCAGAAAGCTGCAATCGGTAGACTAAGACATCAGAACATGTGGCGTTTGTATGGCATGCACATCAGGTCCGACGGTTCGCCATGAACATCAGGCCCGCCTCCTCGCTCTGCCCATCTCTCTGTCTGAGTGCCTGTCTAAGCTGTGAGGACAGGAGAGTGCACCTGCACCGGCTGGCCGGACAATTGCTTCGACGAGCCGAAGATCAACCCAAAGGTTGCTCCGTAACGGTGCTGGGATTGCTGGTGAAGGAGCTATGGCCTACGTTACGCTGCGAAGGTCGATGGTATCCGGCATAAGTACAGCTGGGGCGTCATTGATGACAACGGCATGTCGGATGCTGAGAGAGATGAAAGTCATCCTGCACATGACCCGAGCCATTGTTGCCTAATGACTCGGAGCCATGCGCCACAGAATGCCGCACCCGGGCGCTCTTCGTTCCGATCTCAGGCTTCGCCTGACGAAGCAGGACCACGACAGCAAGGAAGTTTGGAAGCCAGGGCCTGTGCCCTGCCGTCCGAGATCAGACTTAGTCTTCGAACCTTCAGTGCGGCGATGTTTTCTTGGAGAATGATGCTTTTTCATTGGAGAGATTCTGCTGCTAGCCGCACCCTATCAGGCAGTCAGGCAATCACTCCGCCCTCCTTCCAGAAATCGCAGAAATCACTGGCACATGAGAATGAGTCGAATTGAGAGGAAGGAAGCTGGCTTGCAGTTCGCATGCTTGAGATATTCACCTGATTTTGAACATAAACTTGGGGCGAAGGAGCCGTGAAAAGTCTGATGAAGTGCAAGGATTGCAAGTGGAAGTTGTCGGTGCGGTGTAGTCATCTATCCGGTAAGACGGGCGAGAAGTTCTCGGCGGTTCGCCGTATGCGGCCTCTGAGCCCTGGAACGGCCCAGCCTGCCAGCTTTAGAGGTTTTTGTAGCCAGAGTCCATGCACTCAGGTGGGAAGGTCAAGACGTGTCCCGTGAGCTGCCTTGGCAGCCAGTGTTTGTGCTGCAGCCTCAGAGCAGGGCGTCGTCGGGAGCTGATCAACAACACAAGTAGAGCTTTAACAACACTTTGGCTCCACGCACCCAGGCCGGAGCCATACAGCAACGAGGAGGATGCAGGTTGCAGCTCCTTTTACATGTCGTTCCTCGATGAAGCTTTGTTTCGAAGTTTGAAGACGGCATGCAGAAAAGAAGCAAGCGCTCAAGCGGGTTTCTCGAACAGGTGCAATTCTGAGCTTCGTTCGGGACCAGCTATTGCCTCAGAGAACGAGGAGTGTCAGATTTCAGTGTTGCACTGACCTGCAAAAAACAGCGGTGGGCAAGTTCGACATCAGGAAACCATGACGTTACCACATGTGCAGAAGCTGAAGGCCCACCGGTGATACCTTCTGCGTCGTCCTGGACTCGAAGACCATGCAGGAGCAGGCACTTCCATTGATCTGACACCCGCTCCGGTCGGTTTGGTTTTGGCCAGAAACAGTGTCGCGTCCACTTACATCTGGTCAGCACTTAGATCTACCATAAACTGCTGATTGCTTGGGCAAAAAGAATCACATGGACGTGCTGTATGTGCTGTCTCGCAGGCTCGCATCCATTTTCCTAAAGGACATCACGTGCCTCTGCACCTTGATTGCAACCAGTGCAGCTTCGCCATGCTCCGGGATCCATGCCACGACAGGGATTGGGTCACTGTGGAGCTGCCATTGAAGCTTTCCAGACAGCACAGCCTCAATGCTACACCCGGCAACTGCAAGGCACGGCCACGGGACTTTCATCTCTGGCGGCATCTGAGAGGCCGCAAGCCGAACCAGCAGCATCTCACTTGGTCGAAGTACAGTAAGGACCTTACCATTGCTTTCGCTGCTGATGCGGTCACTGCCGGCCCTCTGCATGCTGCCCTGAGCAGCCCAAGGGTCACAGCGTAACAAGCTTCTGACACGAAGCTGCGGCCGCTTCGTTCGCTCCAGCGGAAGTGTTAACACCAGGCTAGTGTGCACAGGATGGCACATCTGACGGCTTTGCTGGAGCGGCACCCATTATCGATTTTGCACATCAAGAGTGTATCTATGTGTCGGGCTGCCGAAGCGGGATCATGCTCCAAGTTTTTCGTATGTTCCTAACACCCTGGCCGAGATGCTCCACGGGACTTTTGTAACACAAACTTGGAGATCCCTTGTAGCCATCAGCGTTTTTGTCCGACTTGCAAAAGATTTCTCAGCCAACCTGGGCAGTCGCTGTATAGAGGACACCATACTTGTCAACGACAACGACATGTGGGATATTGTCGAGTCTAACTGCAGCACAGAGTTATCAGTTATCAACACTTCCTGCCAAAAGCAGGGGTTGAGAGCTCCAGACTGACATTCGTGGCTTTTTGAACATGTCGGTCCAAGTAGGAATCCAATGCGCTTAGCGAACATACGCGCCCCGTCGCGTTCATTCATCCAGGCGGCCATGTCCATCAACGTGGATTACTTAGGATAAGGTCTTCAGCCGAAATTCGTGTGAGCTGTACTGGATGAAGCTGCATCCGTTTGCCCGTGGATGCCACATCACATCATTATGTCCAGCGTCCACACAAGTGGACCGGCCACGTCGGCCACGCTGCAGGAAAGGAACAGAAATCCAGGCCACGCTAACTTCCAGCTCTCAGGCTCGTTGGCATTCCTTCCCTGTGGGATCCCACTGACCGGCCGCGGCTGATGCTTGACGCCAGCCCCGTAGGTATGTCAGAGCCCAAGCCCTATAGCCAAGACGGAGGTCTCCAACCTCCAATCTCAATTAGCCCTTGCGTCGAGGAAAGCAAGAGAAAACCAATTCCCGCGGGAACTCTCCATCGGAGCTTCGTCGGAGCTTCGTCACTTCGGGGCCGCGGCTGGCAGCGCGGAGATTTTAGGCTCATGGCCGGGAGCTCAGCCCTAGGAGCACCGCAGGAGCTCGCAGCGCCATCTTGAAACGGGTTTGGCCGCTCAGACACTCAGCTGAGGTCCGTCGCCAGAGCCTCCTGCGCTCCTTCGACGCTTCATGTGGAGCATGATGCCGGGTCGACCTTCGAAGAACGGAGACTGAAGGGCCCTGCACTAAACCGGTCGACCCGGCCTGTATAGCGCTCCACAGCGAGCGATCCTAGGACGCAAGGACGCAGTCGTCCCTAGAAGTGGACGTGAGCTGCTAGGTGGGACAAGTTGCATGTGAAAGAAAGGTGTAACCACTCGCGCAGGTAACCTTTATCGCCCCCCCCGAGGTGCAGAGTAGAGCTGGTCCCACGACATTTTAAGACCAAAGTTTGGAGCTATCTGCACAAACAGACTAGCCAAGCCTTGTGAGTGCTGACTTTTTGACGTTGCTGCGGCTGACCGCAGCACTAGAGTACAATTCGACCGTCCCTGTTTTTCGGGGAACCCGGCTCGCCGCTAAAAGAAGATCGAGAAGTTGCATGCCCTGTGCCGTTCCTTTCTGTTGGCGATCTCCTTCCTGCAGATTGTAGAGCATTGTGTTCTTACTCTGTTCTGTTCTGTGTTCTTCCCTCTGTGCCATTCGGTCACATGTTCAGTCTTTCAGGACTCAGCATGCGAATCAAGTATATTTTCTTACATACAGGAATCTCCCGCAAGCGATTTATCTGCAGGTCTGCCTAAGGTCGTTTACCAAGTAATGCACGGGTGATCGCGATATGTTGCCATCAATCCCAGAAGGCATTTTAAACTTTCTGACAATGCTCTTGTCTCCCCAAGCCTACGATTCAGTTCAGCTTGTCGCAAGTGCGTATCCTTGCCAGAGATGAGTTGGTGCTAGCGGGTACTTACTAGTATGTGAAAGACCATTCGTCTGGAATGCGAAAATCCGATCACTCCAAGCTTTTGTCTGCGAGCAATCAGCTCGAGTGCGTTATCAACCCGATAGGGGTGCTGTTGGCGCAGCAATAGGCAGCAGTGGGACGCCCGAAGCGCCTCCGCTCACCGGACACGTAGGATTCTGACAGGCTGGTTGTTCTGGAGAAGCTCTTCGCTGGAAAAACTCGGAAACAGGAAGGACAGGAACGAGATGTAGGATGACAGCATCAAGCCCCTGACTGACAGAAGCGGGTGGACCGTTTTTCTTCTGTACCACTTGAGTGAAGCCAAGCAGGATCTACAGTACAGGTCGAAGCGTGATGTTTCCCACGAGGTTTCATTGCATTCCAGGAATCCAGGAAGCTGGTGTTATTGGTGTTCAGAGCTGTGGAAGGGACGAAGGTGAATTCGAAAGTACCTTCCCACATCTTCCAAAGTATGACGGGTGGCCAATCTCCGACGGGCGTGGGGGAGAAGGTGCAACCCTGCTGTCTGTGACTCTTTGAGCCGCACTAAAACATCAGCCAATCTTCGATGCCTACCTCCCAGCGAAACTCGAACAGAACATATGGCAACCCAGAGAAGCAAGGTAGCAGATGGTGAAAACTCAGCATAAGTTCCTCAGGTGTTCCTCAAGCACCGCCGTGCCGCTTGCGGCTTGTGTAAAAGATGCGAACAGATAGCGGATTCTGTCTGTGGGGGCCCTAGCCGCCCATCTGTGCAGGGGCTCACTTCTCTGCGTTTTTGACAGCATTTCTTGAGCATACAAACGCGTGTAGCAACCTGGGTACACTGTACGCAACGAAACTACTGCCAACAGTGGGAAGGGATCAAGCAATCGACACAATGATATTCACCAGCCGGTTTCTTGCTTTCTCTGCTTGTTAACGTGTCTTTGACAAAGTGCATGTTCGGCAGCTGCAGTGCTCG